CGTCTAANACCAGATCAGGGGTCAGATCAGAGACGATGGATTAGTCAGGTCGCATCGTCGGGAAGACGTGATTTCAGAGTGACTGTAGTTGTAATTGTGAACGAGTTATCTAATAAACAGCTTCGTCTAATCCAGGATCCACAATTATTTGTCACGGAACCCCGGACACGTGATAATATGTAGAGGAAGAGAGAGAGAGGGGGGGAGAGAATATGGCAGTATCGGGTTCAGTCTTATGTACTAACACGAAGTAAGAGAGGTGACCAATATTTGTTTTATAGTACTCTTTAATATATGATTATTTCCATGAAAGTCTCAATGAAGAAAACCGAACTCGTACGGAATTCCAGCTGCTTTGTAGAAATTCTCCTAAAATAAATAGTGTACTGCGAGAACCTAATCTGACAATCTAACCGAATCTAACCTAACCTAACCTAACATAACCCAAGCAAGTCCATCCCATGAGGTGTATCCGTGAACCAAGATAGATTCGCAGGATTTCGCTCAGTGGTTTGTTGCGTAAACCTGATCTGAAAACCTAACCTAAACCGAACTAGCACAACCCAACGCAAGCGAATTCCTTGATGTCTGCCCTATTGCCAAGATGGATGGTAGGATGATGCGCAGTGGTCAACTGCACAAACCTGATCGGACACAACCAGTATTAACCTTGTGGGATTGTCGATGTTCTAAAAGACAACCACGTAAATCTGTAACAATCACATATATTAAATTGTATAAATTGAATTTACAGAATAGCTGCGAAGCTATGTGGAATGTCAAAAGTTGGCTGGCCCTGAAAAGAGCAGTTTGTTCCACCGTGAGTGCGCTGGTAGAATTTGCTCCTTTGTAGTACACCAAGTCTTTACGGCCGTTCAGCTGGTTTGTCCGGCCAGTAATGTGGTGCTGCATGCGCCTGTAGGAACAGCTGCCTGTGGCGCGATTGCTGGAGAGTTGCGGCAACTACATTAGCTGCCTGTTCGCAGAGCGAGGTTGCTGGAGACTTGCGGCAACTACGTTAGCTGCCTAGTGACAGAGCGCGGTTGCTGGAGAGTTGCGGCAGCTACGTTAGCTGTCTGGTAGCAGGGCGCGGTTGCTGGAGAGTTGCGGCAGCTGTCTTTGGCGCAGTTAAGAGCTGATGACTCTGATGACTGATCGTTCTGAACTGAATGTGATCACTGATGATTGCGAGCTTTGGGCTCCGCTTTTATACCATGCTTGCTGGGCAGAGCTTAAATTTGCAGTTGCGATTGTGAGCGCTGAATGGCTAGCGCACGTCATGATCTACAGGTGGGCTGGACATCGAGTGCTGTATAAATACGAGTGGTGGCAGCAACGTGCGACAGTGTGATATTGACTAGGAGTGAGTGCTGTCTGTTAGACCGGCGAAACCGCGTGTTAGTATGTGGGATGTTCCCACAACTTCATTCAATGTAACCTAACACAGCCCTAGATACATATAGGAGTAGTTTGTCTCAGTAGTGTCCTGCTGTGCAAGTGGGGTTTGAGTTAACTGTGCTTAACCTGATGTAACCAAATTCAATCCGACCTGGCTGTCTTAAACACACGGGAAAATATGCCGACTACATACGCAATATTCGGATGAGCTGTCAAAACTTTCCCTTACGTTTCTTAAGAAAACGCAAGATAACGTGTTGTAAGATTCTCTTTATCTGACGAAACTGACAGTTACATATTTCTGAAATTTTGACAATTTCTCAAACCACAGATGTTAAATATACTCGGATATCGTACACAGAATCGGAAAGTGACTGAGATACAGAAAATACTGTTTTCTCCCATGTAGTTCAGGGTAAATTAAATAAATTAAATTAAATTAAAATAAATTAAAGTGTCCGGAAATACTGCATATTTCATAAAAACGTATTCACCTTCAGGGAATTGGTCATCCTGAGACTGAAGACAGTTCGCCTTAGTTGGGATTTTATAATTAAAAAAGCATGGATTATGACGCAATTCTGAAGTAAGTACAAGTAAAAGTAAAACTATCCCTGTAACAGGCCGTGGAGACCCATAGGGTAGTGAGATGTTGAGGTTCCCATATTTTTCTGGACACTCGGCTCAAAGATGGCGGTAAGGTTGTCAGCCTTACGCACCGGCCGCGCTTCACTCCCCAGGAAAATTATTTAATTAATTCCTGGTACTCATTTCTGTTAGAGGCCGAGTAAACCCCAGGGCCATAGTGCGGCTGGAAGGATTAGGTAAATTGAAAAAAATCCAATGACCTCATCGGGATTGAAGGCGTATGGGGGAGTGGATGTATAGATCCATTTTTTCTTGACCTACGCAGTGATTGGAAGTGAGTGGTCAGCTTCACGCCCCGGTCGCGTTACACTCTGGAAAGAGCCCTCGGTACCTATTGTACCGGAGATTGGGTGGATCCCAGAATCGGTTTGGACGACTGGAAAAATGAAAATTCTTGACCTTGCTGGGACTCGAACTCCGATATACTCGTAACAATTTGAACTTCCAAAATGTGAATGAGGGTGACGACAAAGTTAATAACTTTTATGCATTATTTAAATGCCCTAGCACCGAAGTCGTTATCACTGGACTCAGTAGCCATTTGAATCTACGTCATCTCACGTTTAATGAAGCCAACGAGATAGCTAAGATCGAAACATGTCGGACAGAGGAGTCTGAAATACGACCTGTCGTTTTATAAAGCTTTTAGTTCTATCATTTCACGGAGATCGCCTGCAGGTGTGTGGTAATATGCTGATAATGTTGGAACATGTTGGTGGCTTAGATACTTCTATAAAGAAGAGAAGAACACAAGATGTTGCTTGAAAAATGACAAGCAAGAATACAACCTGTTGCTTTATGGCTTTATATTATTTCTTTTTCCCCCCATACATATTTTGAAACACTTTTCAATCGCAGTCCATTCTGTGACATGGTGAAGTGGTTGATGAATTTCCTTCCGTATTTTAACAGGCTCTGCTTCATTGTGCGTGTTCCAGATCAGAGTTAAAGTAGGAAATTGAACGTTTGCGCAAACTAACTTTAAGTAGACGACTCAAGCCACATGATTGCAAGTTTTCAGACCTTAAAATATTGTGGCGTGCTAGGAACCCGGAAGGTAAACTTCCATAGAAACGCAATAACAGTGGGTCGTTGCCTGGGAATACCTTAAGCAACAAACGCCTTTCTCCGGAGATGAAAAGACAACAAAAGTTTCGTCGCGTAACAGCGGGCGAGACCAAAGGCTCCTACATGATGCGCTCTATTCCGTTAGGTTATAAAAGCCCAGCTTCGAAGAAACCAGAGAGTTGTCGAATACCTCCACCGTGACCCTGCAAGTTGTAGGAGGCGACAAAAATGGAAGTCTCAAATCTGAGACAGTAAAATATAGTCGTCAGTCCCAAGGGACTCGGACCCGAGAAAGACTGCCCTGGCAAGGACCAGCAGCATATACAAAAGACAAATCCGTCTTCTTGTTAGAGAGGGCGCCCCACAAAAACAAGACCATAACATACAAAGAGGAATAAATATCTGATCATGAGCCCCAGATGGGGCTCGACACCAAGGCTTACTGACTTTGATTTTGACTTTGACCAGAGAGTTGAGTTCTAGAAGTTGCCCAGAACAGTTCACCTTGCATTTGACCTTAGAAGAGTAGTCAGTCTTCAGTTTGGCTTCGACTGTAGCAGAAGCAGAAGTTGTGATACTGAAATTACGAATAATGTTACTCGCTGCTGTAAAAGTGAGCGTCCAATAAAAATTCGCCAAATCCGAGACCTGCGTGAAGTCATTTGACGCGTTATATATGCAACATGCGACAATATAATACTCCGGAGCTGCTGAAACAAATTGCATAACAAAGAGCAGTGAAAAGATATTAAATTGTCCACATTTCGGTCATTAGAACTGATCATAGCGAACGTCTTATAGCGGAGTCCTGTAGAAGCCGGCAATAATCTTGCAGTTACATTCTCCACCGCTTACGGAACACGGAGGTTCATTCTGGCGTTCAGAAGAGCCAACCACTGGATCCTATGACGGGCTAGGTTAATATAGTCCACAGTCTCACGCTCTGTTTAGTCTAGATGCATTCCAATGTTACTGTTTCATCTACGGATAACTGAGGAGCTACTTAATTGGAAAGGTAGCGGATCCCATCTAGAAAACCGAAATTAACAACCGTGGGGATCCGTTGCGCTGAACACGTGACATCATCTATCCGCTGAAGTTAGAACTAACTTCGCCGACAAGCAGCGGTCGCTATAATTCTCTTGCGGACTAAAGCCACGGAATTTGTGTTTCATCTACGTTTAAGCCTACAAATACGAAGTGTCGAAAATTGAGACCTCTACAGAAAGTGATATTTCTGACGGCATTTGACTTATCTGAAATATAAAGTCGATAATTATTTGGGAATTTTCATTACACTTGAACGTCCTGTGAAGTTATGTAATATACCCTTGAACGAATGGCATTATCTGACAACCTAAAGACGGTGCCTAATCGCTGTTGGCATTAGAACTGACAATTCCAGGATTAAGTCTCTCATTAAGTCCCTTCCCTTCAGACATTCCAACTACATTTTTGTAAGCCTTTAACTGAACCAAACAAGCTCATCTCCGGGCCTCGTGAAGTTCGATTTCTTGGAGGAGTAATGTCTGTGTATGCTATTTGTATGTAATAAATATTGATATTATCTCCATATGCGTGGATGTAAAACAGACTAGCAATTTCAAAGAACATTATGAAGAAGGTTATTGCGTTCCGAAGTAGCATGCTGTTTTTTATTGCTAGTGGGGTGGGACTAAGTCCCTTGTACTGCGGCCACTTCTGGCCTATTGTACCAGCCCCAGATGATAGGTGAGGGTGATTGTGGAGCAATTGTTGGAATTAAGATTGGCATGGGGAAACCGAAGTACTCGGAGAAAACCTGCCCCAGCGCCACTTTGTCCACCACAAATTCCACTTAACCAGAACCGGGATCGAACCCGGGCCACCGCGGTGGGAAGCCAGCGACTAACCGCTTGAGCTATGGCAAGGATATGTGTCATCCTTGTGCAGAGACAATGTTAATCTTCTCTTTCCACTACCAATATTAGTATATGTACTGCCGAAGCGACAGTGACGTAGCATGCTGCTATTGTGCTAGTGAGTTTGCCTTCTGCCATAAACAGTTGAAACATTACCCATGTACATTCTCGAAGGTCCAAGACTGACAATCCAGAATATCACGAAGAAGACAACGGCTTTTAACCGTGAAAATTAGTGGGTATTATATAATTGGTAAAATAGTCCAATACTTGCTTGGAATTGTTACAAAATAGACATATTCGACTGGGAATTAGATTAAGAAGTTGGAACCAACGGAAGTGAGACATATTTAAAAGGATTCGTTCCAAAGCTGTGAAAAATATAACATTTAACATCAGAAGAACATAATTAAGGTTAGAATTATCAGATGTAGCTTACATTTCATACATTGAATTCATAATTTTTCATGTTCTTCTAAATGTAATAAGGGGGAAAAGGGCAAAGTTATCCCTGTCACAGGCCGTGGAGGACCATAGGTTTTTAAGACGTCGAGGCTCCCATATTTTCTAGACAGTCTGCTCATAGATGACGGTGAGGTTGTCAGCCTTATGCGCCAGCCAGTAGCCCTTTACCCCCAGAAAGATTCCTGGTACTCTTTTCTCTTGGAGGCTGAGTCAACCCCAGGCCATAGGACGGCTGAATGTATTAGGTCAATTGAAAAATCCAATGACCTCACTGGGAATCAAAACCACGACTTTCCAACTTTTAGCGTAGTGCCTCAATCAACTACGCTACCGCGTGCCCCCCTGATTAGTTTATTAAAATCAAATTAAAAAAGACTTTTCGGATAGTAATTATTTCACATTCGACATCTCCTTACTTTCTGACATGCACAAATGAACTGTGATCCTCTAAGAGTTCGATCTGGAGATTTGGTCTGGTTTACACATTTTCACCCTCCCACCCCCAAACCCGAAAGTTCAGTTCTGAGGTGCCATATGTGCGCCTTGTTAACACCTGAGCAGCAGGGCGAATTTCATTTTTGTTTCGTTTTTAAGAATTTATCCTTCGTACGTTGGTATCCGGTGAATATGGACATTCTAGTTCCAGAATAGGGCCCCGTCAGTTGGGCTCCCCCCCCCCAAAAAACTGGCGAATTATCTAGAAAACGGCTGTAATGATTCTGACAAAATTCCGATAATTTATAGAGACCATCATAGAAATAAAACTATTTGGTAGTGTTTTCGGGAAAATAATGGCAGACGAGTATATGGAATGTCTGCATCGATTTTTGTGAACCCGGAACTGTAATCATGATTATATATCTTTAAGGAAATCATCTTATTGTGTGTTGTTTATATATCGCCTGATGATGGCTCCATGAGCCGAAACGTCTAGCGACTCAGATATGCACAGTGGAAAGTGAGTGAGTTATTTGATGTTTGTTTTGTCAAGTTTGGCACTTAAAAGAGAAACTTACATATATAATTTAAATGTATAAAAATCCGACCAGTTAATGCCTAGTTGTAATCTAAAATAAAAAAAATCTGTATTTTGAGAAACATGCTGTGATGATTTGGTAGTTGAAAAGCAATTCAAGTGTGAAGCGCAGGATATTTCCAGTACTGCAAGCACATGAAACTTATCGAATGATCTGTATAAGTGAAATATAAATATTCCATCGCATAAAATAAAGAGGAGGGAAATGCTTTTAATAAAGTAAAAAGAAAAATTCACTCATATAAATACCGTTCAGTTACGCCATATTGGCACCTTGTGCTTAATCATCCATGTTAGATGGGTCCCTTGTTACCACGGCATGGCGCGTCCCCAGGTTGCGGATGTAGGAGACGCCCTCTATATATGGAGGGTAGCTGCGAAAATATTGAATAAGCAGTCACGGACAGCCGACAAATGGTGGTCCTCCAGCTTGGGGGTTGGGCATGAGACTAACAACTCCTCACCGTAAAAAATAAGCTTGTTATGAAAGGTCACAAGAGCCTCGGACCGGGACGGATTCTTTGGATAAACGACCGAAGTTATAATTGTGCCTTTTATTCTGTATGGGTATGAAACTTGGTCTCTGAAATTAAGGGAGGAACACAGACTGAGGGTGTTTGAGAACAGGGTGTTGAGCAGAATATTTGGACCGAAGAGATGAAGTGACGGGAGGTTGGAGAAAACTGCATAAAGAAGAACTTCATAATTTGCACTCTTCTCCAAGTATAATTAGAATGATCAGTCAAGGAAGATGAGATTGGCAGGGCATATAGCATGAATAGGGAGAAAAGGAATGCACATGGGATATTTGTAGGAAAGCCAGAATTAAAGACACCACTGGAAGACCAAGACGTAAACGGGTGAACAATATTAAAAGGAATCTTCGCGGGATAGAATGGGATATGGATTGGATTGATCTGGCTCAAGATAGGCACCAGTGGGGGCCGTTGTGAACACGGTAATGAACCTTGGTGTTTCATAGAATGCTGGGAAGTTCTTGAGTGGTTGCGAAATTGGCGACTTTTCCAGAAGGGCTCAGCTCATTAATGAGTGAGTGTGCTTAATTTTTCTGCTCTTGTGCGTTACGTCCTCTGGTCTGTTTCGTTGCGGAAGTATGTTTTTCATATTAATGTTTTTAGATATTTGACATAAATCGTTGGATGAGTGATCGAAGGCAGCGTCCTTGGACCACTGCTGTATGTCCTGTACACGTCAGATCTACCGACGGCACAAAATGTCCTAATAGGGGCATTCGCAGATGATACGGCCATCCTTACTAGCCACGCAGATCCTCAAACAGCCTCAACTGCTACACAAAACTACTTAAATACTCTCCAACAGTGGTTAACAAAATGGAAAGTGAAAGTGAACGAGAATAAATCTGCGCATATATCATTTACCCTCCGAAAAGAAGTATGCCCAGCAGTCACACTAAACACACACAGATACCGCAATATGCCCAGCAGTCACAATAAACACATACAGATACCGCAATATGCCCAGCAGTCACAATAACAACATNGAAATTCACGACTATCTACAGACAACAAACTTCTAATATATAAAACAATTATCAAACCAATCTGGACATATGGACTAGAATTATGGGGCTGCTCAACTAAATCAAATGTTGCAATCATACAAAGATCTCAATCCAAGATACTCCGTCAAATTGTTAATGCTCCCTGGTACGTAACAAATCATACACTACATACAGATCTACAGGTACCAACCGTGCAGGAAGCAATACGCAAGAAAGCCACCACACATCATAATTCCATAGAAAACCACCCCAATCAGCTCATGGAACAACTCCTGGAACCAGTAAGCAACAAAAGACTCAAAAACCTGTGGCCAAGTGAACTACCCTTAAGTTAATGTATAGATACTAATTATAGATTATACAGGTGATTTCGCTGGATATCAACCTGTTCACGCCACTAGTCATTAGTATATCTAATGAGTAACCAGCACTTTATCTTATAGAATTGTGTAATATTCTGATTGCTAAAATCTAAATAAATTAGAAAAAAAATGAGTGATCGGCTCATCTTTGTCTCTACTTATTCTGAACGGCATAAAGCAATAGACTTGTACTTCAATGCTCCGAGCGAGATTCGAACCTGGGACCCCAATTTTATAGCGACCCATTACTGTACCCTCCTTAAACACCGTAGGGTCTTTTGGAAATTAAGGAATAAATTTTGAATGGGGGTTTTATTTCTTTACAACAAAGTGGAGGAAATTTGTCGAGTGTCAGTTTCTGTAAATGAAAGTTAGCGGTTGTACACGGTCGGTACATCAGAATAATAAAAGCAGATCCTTCTTCCACACTTCACTGGCAGAGATCTTCCGTCATCGGGAAGTAGGGAGAGGAAGTTGGTCGGTCTTGACGGACAAAGTGCCAGAAAAACTTTTCAATATATTCTCTGAATTGGACAGGCTGCGACAGACGTAAGTCCTCTCTCTGTTCTTGCCAACAAACTTCAAATCAGAAGCCAGCATATTGACGTCTGTTTATACGGAAATATTCGTAGTTTGTATAATGAGCTTATGGGCTTTGAAATCTGAGGTTTCATCTAAAAGACTTATTCGAATTCAATACAAAGGGAAACTGTGGTATAAAGGAACACACCTCAATTTCTGTTGGCAGCAGTGTTACAAAATTTGTTCTATCTAAGGCTTCAAGAATTGTGTAACAGTTGTTACTTAATGTTTTCTGATCATGGTGTTTGACTTTTGCAGGTTACTAAGAGTGACATAACATTCACGCAACCCATTTCTAATACAATAGTATTGATTGGAAGTAATTACAATTTCAGTGTTCAAACAGTTCATTTATATCGAAAAGTCACAGTTATACAACTGCAGAAATCCCTGAAAGTCACCTCCTCACAAAACCGTGCTTTTATTCTTAGAAGTGATGTTAAATCATAAAGTGTAATTAATTTTCTAACCAGGTACATGATTACAGAAGGAAATCACAAAGTTGAGGCGCGCACACACACACACACACACACACACACACATATATATATATGTGTGTGTGTGTATATTCTAATTTTTATGTTTTTGGACAGATGACGAGAAGACAAAAGGCTCTGGACTGAAACTATAACATACTAGTATATAAAAATTAGAATATACAAAACCATAATTTTGCCTGTGGTTCTGTATGGGTGTGAAACTTTGTCTCTGACATTAAGAGAGGAACATGGATTGAGTGCGTTTGAAAACAGGGTGTTCAGGAGAATATTTGAACTGAAGATAGATGAAGTGATAGGAGGTTGGAGAAAACTGGATAATGAGGAGCTTCATAACGTGTACTCTTCTCCAAGTATAATTAGAATGATCAAGTCAAGGAGGATGCAGTGGGCAGGGCATGTAGCACGAATGGTGGAGACGAAGAATGCGTATAGGATATTGGTGGGAAAGCCAGAAGGAAAGAGACCACTGCGAAGACCAAGGCGTAGGTATGTGGACGATATTAAAAAGGATCTTAGAGAGATAGGATTGGATGGTATGGATTGGATTGATCTGGCTCAGGATAGGGACCAGAGGAGGTCTCTTGTGAACAGAGTAATGAACT